TATAAGGTTGTGGCAAAAATGTTGGCAAACCGGTTGAAACCTATACTCCAGCAAATCATTTCTGAAAGTCAGTCCGCTTTCCTTCCGGGCCGTCTCATCTCAGATAATATTTTGTTGGCGGCCGAGATGGGGCATTTTCTGCGTAGGAAGAGGACAGGCTTGACGGGTTGGGTGGGCTTGAAGTTGGATATGGCTAAAGCTTATGATTGTATGGAGTGGCCATTTCTGCGAACTATGATGGGAAAACTTGGCTTTGATGAGGAATGGATCAACCTAGTTATGTTATGCGTCTCCACCGTTCGATATCACGTGCTTATTAATGGTGATCTTTCAGAACCGATCCTTTTTACGAGGGGACTGCGACAGGGCGACCCATTGAGCCCTTATCTGTTTATTCTTTGTGCGGAGGGCTTATCCTTAATGCTGCAGAACAAGGTCAGTGAAGGTGTGCTCCACGGGATTCAGGTTGCTAGAGGAGCTCCCTCTGTCTCGCACCTTCTCTTTGCGGATGATAGTCTTTTGTTTTTTAAGGCAACACTCGAGGAGGCTGTGGTGGTCAAGAGATGCTTATCGGAGTATGAGAGGTTGTCCGAGCAGGTTGTAAACTTTAGAAAATCCAGCATTTGTTTCAGTCGCAACACCCCCACTCCGACAAGAGACTTTTTATCTCAATTTTTTGATGTGGAGCAAGCTTCCGATTTTGGTAAATATCTTGGTCTCCCCCCTTTCATGGGAAGAAATAAAGCTAATGTGTTCTCATATATCCATGATAAAATTCGTGTGCGGATGAGTGGGTGGTCAAAGAAGCTTCTCTCGAAGGTCGGAAAGGAAATTCTGCTGAAGACAGTTGCGCAAGCTATGCCTCAGTTTGCTATGAGTGTTTTTTTGTTACCATCTCAACTTTGTCAGAGTATTGAAAAGCTTATGAACTCCTTTTGGTGGGGTGGGAAAGGGCAGAATTCTAAAGGGATCCATTGGATGTCTTGGACAAGGATGGCAGTACCAACGAATTTTGGTGGTTTGGGCTTTAAACAGGTGAGAGCTTTTAATGTGGCAATGCTGGGAAAACAGGGGTGGAGGTTTCTCACCCGACCTGAGGCACTTGTCTCTCGGGTTTTTAAAGCAATGTACTTTCCTACGTCTTCATTTTTGGAGGCTCGTTTGGGGGCTAATCCTAGTTCTTTCTGGCGGAGTATTTTGGAATCACAATCACTGCTTTTGGAGGGTATCCGTCGTAGGGTGGGTAATGGTCGGGACACTTTGATATGGGGCAGTCCTTGGCTTAATGATTCTCAACAACCTTGTATCCTTACGGAGAGACCACCGTTTACGCCCAATCTCCCAGTAAAATTTCTGATTGAGTCTGGTTCGGGTCATTGGAAGGAGGAAGTGGTGCGGGAATGGTTCTTGCCTGTTGATGTGCAACGCATTCTTGCACTACCTTTGGGCACCATCAGTGATGATAACTGGTACTGGGAAGGGCCGTCCCAGGGAGCTTATTCGGTGAAAGAAGGTTATCAGCGTTCGGTCGGGGAGTTTACGGTCTGTCCGGGTTTTTCAAAGTGGCGTCAACTTTGGCGGGTTTCAGTGGCTCCGAAGCTCAAGGTCTGTGTGTGGCGAGCTCTTCGGGACATTCTTCCGACCATCTCTTCTCTTAACTCTAAAGGTATGGCCCTGGACAACCTTTTCCCCTTGTGTGGGACTCCGGGTGAAAATATTGATCATATTTTTGTTGTTTGCCCGTTCTCAAAAATGGTTTGGAATCAGCTTGGAATTTCTTATAGCAGTCTTGTAGGGCTGAATTTCAATGCATGGATGATGCATATGTTTGACAGGTTTTCATTGCTTGAACTTCGTCCAGTCATCGTGGGGGTTTGGGCGATCTGGAAAGCACGCAATAAGGCGGTTTGGGAGAGGCAGGTGCCCACGCCTCAGTCCACGGTGTGTTTGATCTGGAAGCTGTGCAAGGAGTGGCATGAGCGGGCTGTGCCGGAGGCTACCTCAGGTGCAGTGGTAGGGGCTGGGCGGGCAGTGTCGGGGGCTGTTGCAGGGAGGGTTTCGGGGGCTGTGCAGGCAGGGTCAGGGGTTGTTGCAGGGAGGGTTTCAGG